GGCCTTGTGTCTTATGTCAAAAAAGGAATGGAGTGCTTAACTTTTTCATTTTGTTTTTATGTTCTATGCCTGCAATCCCTCCAATATAATGAAGAATAGGACTCTAATATGGTACTGTAGAGTGTAAAATTTAGAGAAAGATAAAATTCTTAGGTATTTTTCGAAGCTTGTGAACTGTACACTGCAATGTAGAAGGATGAAAATTACACATCTGATTTATACACCTGCTAGTAAAAATCAGGAGATTAATTCCAAAATAGCATATTTTGCATTATTCTTTGTTTGTTTTCAGTTCAGATGAAAACCTTCACAGTATAAAATCAGTGATTTAATAACTTTCTATTTTTCAAAAAGGATACTTTTTAGCAAGGAAAGACACGAATGAGTAATTTAATGCCATCTGCAATGCATAGCATTAATACAAGATTTTAAGCCAGTCCAGCTGGCTGCTGATCAAGAATACCAGACAAAACTCAGCCAACTCTTTCCATAAAAGATCCCTTTCTTTTGTGGGTAATCGAGCTCGCCTTGCCAGTTGTGCAATGGGCTTGCCTCTAAAAACCAAGGTCTCCTTTTCAAAGAAATCATAAGCATCTTGACCCAGGAGTGCCAGGGAGGAGGGAGGCTGGTGGTGCCCTGATGGCCCTAACAGGGGCTGCTCGGAGCAGGACATCCTCTCCCCTCCTTAACCACAGGGGAGCCCACTGGCACTAGTGGGGGTCTGCTCTGGTCTGGAAGCCAGCAGATGCATTGAAAGGGAGCACTTACAGGGAAAGTGGGAGTGATTCAATCCCCCTGAGGGTATTAAAAGAGAGCACAAAGTTAGTTTTGTGTACTAACTACTCTGCACAAAACTTTTGCTGTGAAAAATTAAAATAGGTTTTACTCTTAACAGTACATACTTCTTTTCAGAAGGTATCCTTTGCTTCAGCTCTACTCAGCTGAAAGAGGTATGTGGGAAAAGGGGCTACAGTAGAAAGAAAAGTGTGTGTGTGATGTAAAACGGTGGCTACAGGAGAAGGGGAAAAATACACTTAGAGAAATACAGGGTTGAAGAGAAGTGAAGGCATGTTTGTTTTGTTCAATTGTTTTGCCATGCCCTGATAAGACAAAATAGGTGTATTAAAACCAAACTTAACTAATGTTGTACTCCTTAACTGATTTATTTTGTTTGAGTAAGTTAAGATTATTATAATATACTGATAAGATGGATATAAAAGTGTTGCAACCTTAAAAAAAAGGGGGGGGGGGGGTCTACTTTTTAGAAATAATCTGATTAATGCTGCCCTTGTACAATGTTTGTTGTTTATCCATCAAATGTTCAAAATAAAAAATATAACATTACACGCAAAGAACATTATATTCAGAAATTGCCAGGTGTTCTCCATGCAGAATGCTATAGGGACATTATGTTAATAAACAACCTCAGTTTGTAAGTGCAAGCACAAAGCAGCTTGGTAGTAAAAAGACAAACACTTGAAGACATAAGAGTACACAGGAAAAAAAATGGTGTTATTCTTTTCAATAACAATATAAGCTCAAAAATTATGAAAGTATCTAAAAAAGTGGCTGAATCTCATCTGCAACCATGTTCTCAAAAATGTTTTCATTTTATTAACATTGTTTGCTGATGATAGCAACAAAGCTTGTGAACCGTTTTCCTTGCAAAAACGTTTGGATTTCTTTTAATATGACCTTAACTTTGGGGGTTTAATACTTAATTTAAGAGTAATTCAAGCATCCTTCATTCTGGAAACAGTTACAATGCTTTCTGTTCTAAACATATGAATATATTAAATTTTAACTAGCTCCTTTATCACACCAGTGAGGATACAAATGAAAAGAAATATTGTTTTTTCCAGTTCATGACCTAAAGTATTTCCTTTTTGTGTGGAGACATGTTAAAAATAAAATCTCCAGACAAATAACATCTCAAGTTTGACCTACTGTATATCTTTGTGATACATTCCTGAATTGCCCAATGCAAATGCCTGAAGGCAGAAATTAAGGTTGTAAGGGCAGTCTTTGACCAGGTACCTTCTAATGTCTGCGTTTTGACTTCATAATGGTAAAGGTAGGATTTCTGTATAATTCTATAAATGTAATTTATATTTTTGCATTATAATTTGGAAGGTAACTAGCTATCAGTGGGGGGAAATGTGAAAGATTGGATGCAAAGGAAATACTGTGTTTTCAAAAGAAAACAAATGAATTGCTAGTATCTTGCTGGCTTTAGATCATATCACACTTCAGTAATAAAATCTCAGTATATACACACAAGGGAGATACAAAAAAGACAAATCAGCTATAAAGCCCTTGGAAATTTATTAGATAATATCAAGGCTAAAACTATCTAAACATAAATTAATCTTATAATAATATTTATTTAGTGTGTTATATTGAATTTCTAATTCAAGATTAGCCTTTTTCATTTGTATGTGTTAAATTTTTGGTACATTCCTTAGGTTTTCATGTATACAATTTAATAGTGCCCTGGCCAAACAGAAGGTGATTATTGTGTTATTCAGTAAATTGTAAAAATAGAAACTATAGTTAAAATGTTAAAACTTCTCATGAGAAGTTTGATGTCAACAGCAGTCAGAGCCACAAACCATTGCTAGGACTTCTGAACAGAATAGCTAAATTCCATACAAATAATATTATTGCCTTCTGAAAGCAGTGTTTGCCTGCAAAGCCAGCCCCTTGTGTCAAGCCTGAATATCACTTTGAGCAATATTTTGCCACCTCTTCATTTCAGCAGATTCTTCTCCAGCATGCTCAATCTGCTACATGCAGAGCAAGCTTATACTTTTTTGGCAGGCTAAGTCAAACAATTTGCTTGGGGAAAATTCCAGATTTTTTTGCCTTCATATAAAATGCCTGTTACCTCTCTAGTCTGAAAAAAAAACACAAAACAAACTAACACACACCCATCACCACCACTCATTTTGTTGTGCTGTGGCAATTAACTTTTGGGTTTTAAGTCAACTGTAAATTTTAGGTTGATTAGCTTTCTCAGTGGTATATTTTCAAGCAAAACTAATAGAAATAAATACACAGTTAGAGGACTGGGTAGGAGGCTAGTTTTGGTAGCAGCACTGGCCCTCTCTGCATGGGTAAACTGGCTACAATCTCACCCACCATGGCAAACGTAACCCCATGCCACAAAGGAGGTCATGTCTCCTTTGTTAGCAGATCCTTATTTGCTCAGTGGGGCCTTCTGCACCCATGCAGATTAGATGAAATAACTGTTCTGACATCTGCAAACTTCAGACATCAATTTAACATCAGTTAAAATGAAGATGCATGTAGTTTCAATGAATCATTTGGGACATCGTGTTTTCAGTCTGAAAGAAATTGAAACTTAACCCATTTCACTGATTGCTACTTTGTTTTGAGGTAACGCTCTCTCAGGGTCATTCTAAACTCAGTTCAGGTTCATCAGGAGGTCCTGCAAATTCATCAGCTTTTTCAGCAACCCAATCCAAAATATCATGTTGTGATAAAAAATGAAATACACAGTTTTCCTGGGTTTGGCCTTTGCTATGAACATTGTTCATAGCTCTGCTATGGACTGACAGATTTGTATTTCTGCTTTTCTGACATTTAGTTAACTAACCTTCGTTACCTCTGTCTTCATATAAAGACCATGTAGCCCATGTTTTATATGAGTGTTTTATCTATACAGTTCCTTTAATTCTAGCAGGAGTCATTTCATTCATGTTTTGCAACATCTTTGAAGCAGTCTACAAAAAAAACGGCAATAAATCCTAACTAGAGAAGTTGCTGCATAGCCTGAAAAACAGTTTAATGATTATCAAAAAGGTTGATTTGGATATTTATATTACCTACTTCTTGGACACAATGAAGTAATTATAACATCTTTGTTTCCCTTTTTTGGGAAGGATTTATAAAAATATTAAGTGAATTAATGGAACTTCCTATTTTCTAACTTCCTATTGTGAAAATCCATACAGGAGCCAGTGGAGGTTTTCATATTCCTGAATTTTGAGGCAGGCTAGCTGGCTAACATTTGTGTTAACTCTCTATATATAGGGGAAAGAGAGGGAGGAACTTCCCAAGAGCATTATTTAGTCCATCTAACTGAAGACCTGCTTCAAGTTGCTCTTTTGAGGAACTTCTCTGTCTCCATTTGCTACAAATGGAGAATAGGGAAATAAGCTGCATAAATTAGGTGTTTAAGGCTGTGATGTGAATATCTCTCATTCTTCTCTCTTTCCAGTCAGAGGATCTACAATGCTGTGTTTACTATAATGTTAATATATCTCATGTATATTAAGATTTTCAAACCAAGACAGAAATGTCTGCCAAGAATTGACAAAACGTAGTTACGCTGATGAGTTCCACAAGGAAAAGTAGTTGTGGTTATCCTCAGCTGGAAAATGGGTTCTGTGAACTTTCTTCTCTCCCATTTCAATCATACATTACCCTTCATAATTTGTATTTGCACAATCAAATTAATTAACCTGGGGTGAATATTTGGAGGAGTTTTTAGACTTCGTAGCTCTTTAAGGAGTATGTGTATCAAGCAAATGGTAATGATGCATTTGGACCAAACAATTGTGCTTTTTTTTAAATTTAATTGCTATAATGGATGTATATTAAATATTAATATAAAATGTTTTCCCAGCAGTAAGTCAATGCTCAGTGAATTGATTACACAAAACAGTATTTTTCAAAAAAAAGAGACTTTTCTGCTTATTATTCAATGTACTTTCATGCCAAATTAAGAAACAGAGCTTTCTTAATTTAAGCTTAGTCTTTCCAAGTAATGCCATTTCAGATTTAGCAACTGTATGTTCTGTTCCTTAGGAAATAACAGAAGATCGGGATCGATCACGACTTGATTCAATGGTGCTGTTAATTATGAAACTGGACCAGCTTGACCAGGATATTGAAAATGCTCTCAGTGCAGGCTCTTCCCCATCCAGCACCCCAACATACAAACGGAGACATATACCTGTAAGCCAGTTTGCTTAATCTTTCTTTTTAATCTAAGTAGAATCTGGTTTACTTCACCTTTTTTTTCTTTCAGTCCTCACATTTATCAGCTCCTTGGTTTCTGAACTAAAGCTCTTTTCGTAAAGAATTTGTCTTGTATTGTTGTTTGTATGTATGTTTTGAAGGAGTGATATTGTCTTCCATTATTTCCTTTTGGCATCATTTCATAAATGAGAGCTTCAGAGCTCCCAGATAAAAGAAAGGGAGATTAACAAGATTTAGAAAATGTCTGCCACTCTAATTATCACTTACTATAAATGCAGAGTCAGCACAGAGTCAGGATCACACCAGTCTCAAAGCATATGTGTATGTGTCATTTGACATTAAATACAACTGAAAGTAAGTCTGAGCTACAGGTCTTGGTTTTCTGCTAGTGGGAGGGTCCATGAAATATTTGGCAGAAACACACTTAGGAAATCCTCTGTCATTCAAAATAAGATTCTGGGCAGAACTGTGCACTCTATTTATTTAAATTTCTTTAATTATTTTATTAATTTAAATGCAAGAATTCCTTGCTGAGAGAAGTCCAAAGGGAGACTGGACAGCTTGCAAACATGATTGATGCGTTCTTTTTTTCCGAAAAATGTTTACACATGTAACTATGAAGAACATGAAATGGCTGACCCAAGGTGTTCTCATGCAGGCTTCCTACTAATTTCACCCACATGTGCTGCAGCTGGTTTTCAATTTAAGAAACCTGAGAAATACTGCCCCAAGATCTCTAGACTAACATTCAGGTCATTTGTTTTTGTTAGTGGTATTTTCTTTTAAATAATGAGGGGGTTTTCCTATTAAAGCCAGACTACATTATTGCTATATAGTCAAGTGAGTGGTCTGTAGGTGAGAAAAGCTGTATTTAAATTTCGGTGGGTTTGGTCAGCTGAAGATTATATAACATATCATTTTTAAAGGACTTAACATAATTACCCTTTTAATAGTTAAACATTTTCCCCCTGGATATCAATGTTCTCGCAGTATCTCCTTGAGCACTGATGCCACAAGGAAGCTGAAATACAATGTTAACATCTGTTCTTTATATCTCACCAAACTGTGCCAGCATTTTACTTAATTTCTTACAGCAATAAAGGGAGTTGAGGCAGTCTGTATAAGTAAGTCTGCATGATAATCAGAGGTGGTACCTGTTTCCATGCTGCAAAGCAGCCATCTAGAAAGATAGACAGCTTGCATTAAAGATGGTATATATGCTATTTATATACACTAATTTTCTAGGAATTTTTGAGCCTTTAAGTATTATGAATCAGAGAATCAAAAGATTTGGTTTTCAGAACATTTATGCAGTGTGTTCAGTCTTGTATTGATTTTATAGTAACAAAGCATTTGAATGTAATGCAAAACCATGGGTAATAGGGTGTGGAGCATGGTTCTGCACTGTGGCAGCATGGCTCTGTGAAGCAGACCCTTCTAAGAGCAGCTGTACCCAAGCTGACTTCTACAAAGAATTTGCACGGCTCTGCTGCATTTCCCAATGCTTCACATTGCAGAGGACTCACTGGCAGGAAATATCTGAGTCAAATGCATGGTCCTACCTACAGTGCAGCTTTGTATCTAATTTCTAACCCTTTTCAGAGAACAGCACGCTTGTGTAGTTGGTGTAGAGGCACCTAATTGGCAGCTTCAGTTTGGAGACGAGGGGCTTAGCAGGAATTAATGAATCAAAGGGTTGACATTTCTTTCCAGTTCAGGAGCAGAACCAGAGATGTCTCTGCCCCATATTTCACCTACTCTAGAAACTTGGTATTAGGAAACTGAGGTTTTGCCTGTACAGAGCTGGCTGGGGTTAATAGTTCAGGCTTTTTTCTGTGTACTGTGTAGCTGTATTCACACAGGCTGCACCTTGGCTAGTAATCCTGACAGTATATGGCTGGTTCTACACATAGCCAGCTCTTTGCCAGACATGTGTCACAATTTATCTGCAAGCACTATAATCCCTGCCCTTGCTCTATGCAGTAAATCAAGCATGCACTATATTTTTACTTCCTCAACAATAAAACATACTATATTTCTTCTTCTTTTTATTCTCAAAAAAGGAATGTAATCAGTGTCATTAAAAGTAAGGGCATTTTAACCAGAAATAGCATTTGGCTGATAAGTGTCTGCTGATTCCAAAAAGCTAGGGAGCTGTACCTCTGAATTGTATAAACTGCTGGATAGTGATGTCATTTCAGCTGTGTAATGGCTTACAGATGTTCGCTGAGCTTGCGATGCTGCCAGAGACAGAAGGTGGGAGCACACAGGAAATACTGAACATCAGAGAAAAATGTCAGACTTCTGCAGCCCCAAACTGATTTTTCTTACCTTGCATTCTAACATTTAGGGGAATTACAGCTTTGATGTTAGTGGTGATTTATAATTTCAGAACAGCAGCTAATGCAAACCACTACATTGAAAAGGGCAGCAAGTGAATATGTAAGTAATGGAAAAGAATAAGGGGAATTACTCTTACACAGAGAATTAAGCATGTATATTGAGCCTGTTTAATACTACCATTATTTAGAAGAACTAGATTTTTATTTCATATTCACATTTACGAAGGAGACTTGCAACATTTTTTTACAGGATGTTGAATCTGGTTCTGAAAGTGGAGTGGATGTTGCTTCAGTAAGTCACTCACAAACAAACTTGTCTCCTAATATCCATGCTCCTGACCCAGCATCTCCCTGTTCAGTAGCCAGCTCTGGAGCTAAACCAAAGGCTGGGGTGAGTACAAAGATTGTATTTTCTTAACTTCATTCATGATATCAGATTGGAAGTGAAATAAAGATATTTTATACTGTTCATTACATGGATTGTACAAACAGTATGTGTGTGACGCTGAAAAAAGGACTAATAGCACAGGTTGTCTCAAGGTGCCATTTGAGTGGCAAACAATCCTAGAAGTTTCACATTTAGAAACACTATTATCAGCTGATGATTATAACAAACTTAGTTTTTATGTGAGAAAATAAATTAAAGGAGTTATTCCATATCACTTAGGAAGATAAGGTTTCCTGAAGTGGTATCACTTGGAACATTTCCTAAATCTCATGGAGGGTGCAACCAGCGAAAAAGATAGTTGAATCATGTAGCCTGATTTATGATCCCCAAACCCAGTCACCTAGTCCCTTGAGAGGCTAAACTGTTGTCTACTGCAAGCAGAGGTATTACCCTACTGAATGGAGAATGTCATTCTAAGGTCGAATTGGGCAAGTGGTTTCACACGCTGAGGATGGCAGGGAAGCCACTGAGCAGACAGACCCTTTTCTGCAGGTGCCAGTGCATGCTCGGTGGTGAGGCAGGACAGGTCTGAGAGTTCAGATATGGCAAGGAGCCTCCTTCTGTATCCATTCGTAGATGCACATAGCTATCAGGAGCATGGTCCTTCCTTTTGCCATTGTCCATCTACTGAAGAATCCTTCTTCTTAATGCTTCAGCCATCAGCATGCGCAGAAAAGCTTGGATGTCCTAGAAACTCCTGACATACTTTCTGTTCCCTCTTGCACTTGCTATTTCCACTCCCTCAAAAAGCACAGAAATCTAGACTCTTGTAAACTTTGCCTAGGCTGAAAAGTCTTAGCATAACTCCTGCTCCATCTGTTCATAAATTTAATTGCTGCTGGTAACCAGACCAGCAGAAAATCTGGGATAAAATATTAAAATATAAAGTGTGGTTAGCATAAATATATATGTTTACAAAAAGTAAAATAGATGCCAACTGTCATTTACTGCACTGCAATAATAGCAAGTTAACTAATGCCTTCGATTGAGGCAGTAACAAAAGTTCTAATAAACATTTACATTTAAGATTGTTCACTTGTACAAAAATAAATTCACTTGTAATTCATCATCAGTGCATAGCTATAGCAAATAGAGAGCTCTGCACTCTGTCATTGCGTACAATGCAGCACAAATTCTCATATAAGTGCATATGTTATGCTAGAAGGTGATATCCCATTTTGCAAGATCCTGAGAAGAGCACAGACACTCTCTAAGGTATTAAACAACCCTCTTAAATTTAGGTTTCTCTACTAATATTTGGGGAACTCTTAACACCTGGCTTTGTAGAAGTGTGGGTCACTTCCTTTGGAGTTAGATATTATGTGTTAATTCACCTTTAATAAGTATTTATTTGACTTTTGCTGTGATGGATATATCACGCTGAACATACCTGTGAATATTGCTTTATTATATAATTTTTAATGTATATGATTTTGCAGAGACCTTTTTCTTTTTACTTTGTAGATTAACTGTGAATATCCAAAAAATCTCTGCTGATGTGTGGGTTGTAGGGGTACAATACAGAGTCCTGTTTTTTTAAATTTTTTTATAAGTGAAGACAAATTTTCTCCAAACTCAACTCTCTTTCCTAAAGTTTTGCAGGCTGCAACTCACTGCAGTCTACAGTGGGATTTGCAGATGGGCTTTTTTTGTAAGTATGTTCAGACAAAGACCATATTTTCATTTTTATCATAGTAGGTTTGATAAGTACAAAAATGTGGATCAGTTCTGGTTGAGTGTAGATCTCCTTCAATTTGGGAAAACCAAAATCCTCTTGGATATTTTTTTTATTCCTATTGGCATTAGGCTTTCAGATTGTTTTGACTGTGTACCTTTCTGATCCACAAACCGAGTGCTCATGTGTGCTGTGGTTTTAACTGTTCAAAACTTCAGCTGCCTCCGTACCTTCAGTCAAACTTCATTTGAAAGCATTGGTTTTCTTGGAACACACTAGGAGAAAATAACCCTTCATTCTTACCTTCCTGTATCTCTATCCCTGTTGTTCATCTGGTCTGCATGGCTAAATAGTCTGCTGCTAGGTGCTTGACAGCAATCCCATATTAGTAGAAAAGAAGTTCCCATATTCTTCTTGTCATGTTTAGCTCTGGGCTCTACTCAGGATGAATTTTCAAAAATGGTATATTGAATGGCATGCCCGGAACAGACATCAGGGATGCCTCTGTACAGATGATTTCCATGTAGAGATCTCCTGTGAAAACACACCAAGTGTGGTGTTCGATTTGTAAGGGAGACTGTTCTCATAGTTTCTTTTTTTTTTTTGTCAGACTAGTTGGTGTAGCAGTAAATTTATTCTGTACTGGAAACTCAGCAAGCTACATTTTAATGGTAATGGACTGTTTCAAAGATTTTAGTTCCTTTTTGGTGTTTGCAACTGCAGATCTTCAAGGATTGCAGATGCTTAGTCTCCAAGGACAACTTATTTTGTTGTGTTTATTAATAATATGTAAACAGGAGTACAACTGCAATTAGTTACATTATGGAATGATATGTGGTATTTTTAAACAAACTGTAGCAAACTGTTGACTGCATCAAAATCAGACTGTACAATTAAAACACGGCATCATGTGCAGACTGGGGGGGTGGCAATAATAAGGCAGAGAGATATGGGTTCAAATCTAGTCCCTGATAAAGAACTTGTAAAAGATATTAACTACACAAGTTCTTATCTTACAGATAGGAAATTTGTGTATGGACAAACTATGTCCATTCATGTTAATTCAGCTTTATATGGATTTAAACCAAAAAATTTCTAACAATGTCACAATGTGCCGGAATACCCATAAGCAGAATTTGGTTTGATAATCCTAGGGGAAATGATTCATTCATTGGTTTATGGAAAAGCAGGACATTTTAAATTTTCATAGGTAGATTTAATGAAATGTTAAACAAGGTTTCCATTAGCAGAGGTATTCAGAATTGTATTTAAAATTCAGTATCAATTGTAATTTTCTTTGCAAATTAATAGTAGATATTCTTTTAAAGAAAATTGGAGGGGGCTGTATTTACATACACAAGTTATTTAACATTTCATAAAAATTCACTTATGGGTAGTCAAATCCATTCTTGTCAGTATGAATGCCTGTGTACAGTACACATATATATAATCATACACATGTGTGCACGCACACACAGAGTACTCCTTACTAAATGCAGGCATGACAAGGAAGACTAGGATTCTCCCCAGAGCACTATAGAAAGGTATTTCTATAGAAAGGTTTTTCAATTATCTTGCAGGGTGCAGCATGAAAGCCTTTGATATGCAGATGTAAATGGTATTTTGGGCTTATGAGAAGTGCACAGTTGAATAACCTCCAGCCTAAATTTAGGGTGCCACCATTATATTTCACGGTCAGGGTAAAATAGCATAATGTGATCAATAGAGTGTTTGGTCCACAGTCTAACAACTAATTCAAAATGTACATGTTTGGCAAGGTGCACAAATGGATAATCCTTGTGAAATAAGGATTCATGTGATTGAACAAGTACATTTCCCACATAATTTAGGATTGGACAGCAAGAAATGTTTTTGGCATCTTTATGTTACTTATGTTTACAGAATAAAGAATGTTCATGCTTCTATAATTAGCACATCTCTACGTTCTGGGTTTTTATTCACCAGTCTCCAAAACAGACAATGATTTTTGAATATTAACACTTGAGGATATACACTTGGCAAGCATTAATCACATGAGAGTTGAAATCAGCTTAAAAAACATGAAATCAACAGGCTTTTGCCCCAATGGTCATGAGAAACATTGAAAAATGGGAGTGTCTGGATTTGGAGAGCAAGGAATGTAAATATCCTACATGTTATTACCTTCTACAAACTAATGCCACACATCTGGACACTTATAACATTGTTCAACAACAAAGACGAGAAATTATTTATTTCTAAATTTGCCTTGATTTTTATAAAAACAATATGTGGCTACAGAATTTTAAATGGATTTTAATAACAAAAGGTAAGTTACAATAGCCTTCTCCAGTGCCCAGTTAGCTAGCTAGTTAAGGGAAGCTTGAATCAATTATCATTGTCTTTTTTTTTTTTCCCCCTAAATATAAAAAAATTGGCTAAAGGACAATAGCAGCTAAGGCCTAAAGGTTGTGGCCAAATTTTTGTCCTTGAACATCTGCTCTGCAAAGCCTATCTATTTTCTGTTCAGGTGAAAAAAACCAGCCGTGATTATTTTCTACTGCTTTTCTTGGCAGTCCTATGCCTTTTGCTTCAACAGTGTCCAACTTAGCCCTAATCACACTGTGCAAAGGTAATCAGAAATCTATTATCACCAGAATAGCTGGTATCTAGGAGAAGATTGTTTTTCAGGTTAGCTATAAGGACTTATTTAAAATGTATTCATTTCTCAAAGTGATTTTAGGCACCAGTTATGCCTGCAAGTACAAAATGACCTAGTCTGGCTGCACACTGGAATGGGATTCAGGTGCAGCTACTGATTTCAGTGAAGCCCTGGATGAGCTCAGGAGTCCACTTTCACAAATCTTGTTACTGCATTGGGACAAAAGGCTGTATTATTTAGATGACAGTTTTCAAACTGTTCATTTCTATCTATTAAAATAATTTAGCCTTTTACATATGCTTTTGATTCCTATTATATTTTAAATATTCAGCTATTTAGAGAAAGCCAAATCATTTTCTGAAGAATAATTTATAGTTTGTAGATTAAGAAATAGAGTTCAAGTTTCTTGCTACTTTACTACACTGTTTTTTAACTTATGAAAGAAGCTAAAATTTATGGTAAGTACAAGTAAACCTTGATTTTAGAATTAAATACTCGTAAAGAAGAATTATCAGCAACTGTTTGAAATGTTTACGTTTCCCACTGCATTATGTTTTATAGTAAATTCAGTGGATTATGAGGTGTTCAAACACACACAGAATATGTCAATGAATTTGTGCAGACAAA